ACTAGTAGCGATGGCCTCCACCCTAGTAGCGTCCTTGCTCCTAGTAGCAATGGCCTCCACCCTAGTATATAGTTTCTTGCTACCAGTAGCGATGGCCTCCAAGCTACTTGCGATGGCCTCCATCTAATCGCGTCCTTGCTACTAGTTGACTGGATCCGCTTGCTCACCAGTTACACCACGTATTGTTCTCTAAAGCGAGGCACTTTGGAATAAGGTTGGCACTCACAAGCCAAAGTACTGTCGCCTTCTTGTCATTGACAGCCACTGCCAGCTGTAAAAACCTCAGCCGGCAAAAGGCTTGAATGCGATCAACATGCGAGATTGAATAACTCCACGTGGAAAGATCCAATGAGATTCTTAAAAGGATCTTGGGACTGGCCAACATGCCTTTGCGGGATGTCCCTTTATGTTCTCTAGAGCAGTTCTTTCTCTACCCTCAACACATGGCATGCTGAAGCGTTTTGAAACATACCAGTTCACTCAGATGCAGTCTGACCCCCAGTTGATTCCCAAAGATAGGTCTCCCTACTCCACCAGAGCTGGCCGCATGGCTTCAACGAGCGCATCCGCCTCCGGCAAGTGCCACTTGATTTCAGAAGTCTGATTCACCGGGTTTGAAGGTACCGTATAGTACTGGGTGTTGTTGTTGTTGTTGTTGTTGTTGTGATTGTGGTTGTGGTTGTGGTTGTGGTTGTGGTTGTTGTTGTTGTTGTGATTGTGATTGTGGTTGTGGTTGTGGTTGTTGTTGTTGTTGTTGTGATTGTGGTTGTGGTTGTGGTTGTGGTTGTTGTTGTTGTTGTTGTGATTGTGGTTGCGGTTGTGGTTGTGGTTGTTGTTGTTGCTGCTGTTGTTGTTGTTGTTGGTGTTGGTGTTGGTGTTGGTGTTGTTGTTGTTCTTGTTGTTGTTCTTGTTGCTCTTGTTCTTGTTCTTCTTGTTCTTGTTCTTCTTGTTCTTGTTCTTGTTGTTGTTCTTCTTCTTATTCTTATTCTTCTTATTCTTCTTCTTCTTTTTATTCTTCTTATTCTTATTATTACTATTCTTCTTCTTGTTTCTGTTGTTGTTGTTGCGTCGTTTCTCCAGCTTCAGAAACACTTCTTTTGTGACCCTTCACTTCAAATAGCCAGATCCATAGCCTGCTTTTGCATGTCTTCACGCTCACTTCCGCCCAGAAGATGGAGCTCCACTTCAGCCTGCCATTCGAGTGGGTTTGAGGTTTTAGGGACCCGCCTATCACAATGCAGCCTGAGAGAGAGATTACTTGCGACAAATACGAGACTTACACAGCAAACACGACACATGAAACACACACACACACACACACTTCGACACTGGTTTTCCGTTAAAGCTCAATCTCTCTGCTGA